GGAGGGGAGGAGACAGAAGGGAGAGAAAAGGGTGGCATTCTTTATCAATGAAGAGAAAATATAGAACCAGCCGCAACTGATGTGATTTCAAAATTGTCTATTCTAGTCTCATAATGCAGTGCTCCTTTAAAAACTTAAATCTCCGGAAGTCACCTGCATCAGGCAGGTAGTAGAACATTCCTGACATTGATATGATTGTTGAATATTTGGTCAATAGGTCTTATTCTTTACACAGTATATATTTGAATTGCATATGAAAAAAGTTTCATTATGAATGAAAGTATTAGGGCATAGAAAGGGTATATAATTTTCTCATTTCATTTAGAACCAACCCACTCTGGTCCTTGAGTTAGCTAAATTGATATATTCATGTTTATAAGAGTTTGTGGAAAGGTTGTGTTTGAAATCCCTGCTCTAATCAAGTCATCACTTTGCAGTCCATATCCTCACTGGCCTTCATTTGGAATGTACAACTCCCAAGGTTACACCATGGAAGGGGTAATCCTTAGTTTATTAATAAGGTTATTAGCTTGTGCTCCAGGCACTGACAGTGGACTTGGTCACTGCATCACTGTGCTTTCATCCCACCATGAACTGTCATTTGAATTCCAAGGTCGCTCAAACAAGAATTCAAAATCAGTATTGAAAAAGTCTCCAAAGATGGGTAAAAATATACTTTTGAAAAATCATATAAGAAATTTTTCTTTCATTTCTGAACTTCCTAGAGACTCAGATATCATTAAAACTTGAAAACCTTCAGGTTTTCAAAGCATCTTATAATGGACACAAAGAAAGCCCTTAAAATTGTTTTCATTCTAACTAGTGAGAAGATCAAAGTGAAAGTTATTTCAGGCTTGCTTGATGGCGAATATACCAAAGGACTCTTGCTCCCTCTACAGAAGGTGCTTCAAAATTGCAGACACAAAGATATTTTATTTTTATTTTTTAATTTAATGAAATAGATTTGCCATGAAGTTCATGATGATTAACAAAAAGTTTTGGCTCCATATGTATCTCCAATGTCTTGCAAACTGGTTGGTTGTCCTAAAGTTGATCAGGATAGGTTAGTGCGTTTCTAATTTGGCATTTCTCTATTGCATCAGCAAGGGTTAAACTCCAATAGCAACAAATGTGAAAACAGAAGGTTTTTGTTTGCTCGGCTTTGTTCAATTTATTTACTTTCATGGATGAATAAAATGCTTGAACATATATTAGGTGATCATCTTACTCATTTTCATTTAGCCAGGGAATTTAAGCCAAAAAAATAATGTACTGTACCTCAACAACTTAATTAGTTTTCTCATTATCTACTTCTAATTATTTTGGTCATTTTTATTTCTTGGTTGTATTTGGAAAAAAAATATTAATTTGAACTGTGACTTCACAGGAGGAAGAATTGTTTCATTTAATTAAACTGGATTTTTTTTCAACTATACGTAATATTTACAAAAGACAGAAAGTTTGACCTTTCTATAAGAACTTCATTAATATATAAAGCTCCCATGCATATACATATAAGTTATCTTAATTTACTGATGTAAGTTAAATTGGAACAAAATGTTAATATTTTAGTAGCTTTGGTTTGAACAATTTTACGCATTTTCTTTTACAACTCCAAGATTATTTTGACAGGTTACTAGTTTTTCTTACTGTGACATTTAAAATTATAAGTATAACAATTCTTTTATTTCATCAATAGAGTCTTAACAAAAGATTGAACATTCTTTTCTTTGTATGTAGCATAAGAACAGCCCTTCTGCTATTACCTTGTAATTAAAAAATGAATACACATGACAAAGTAGCTTCTTTTATTTGATTATGTCACATCAGACGTACTTGTTCTAAATTAGTATGCTTATACTAGACTGGATTTTTTTTTCCCCTCTGGTAGGTGTACTGGTCCATTAGCAAATTGTCTTTCAGAGAAAACAAGAGACCCAGTAGAGGAAGATGATGATGAATATAAGATTCCTTCATCCCATCCTGTTTCCCTGAATTCACAGCCATCTCATTGTCATAATGTAAAACCTCCTCTTAGGTAAGAATGTGGGCACCTTTTTAATCTTCTCACATCTGCATACACATTATCATTTTTAAGCAATCAAATCATATCTATTTATTAAAAATCCTTGCTTTCTTGCTCAAAGCCTCTTCTTTCTATATACTGTTTTTTGAATTATTTTCAGAAAAAACTAAAAGATAGATTTTTCAGCAAGTCCTTTGACTAATTTAGTTGACTAGTAAGTCTAACGGGACATTTTGTTGCCCTCTCTCCCTAAAAACAAATTGTACTCTGATCAAATTTTGTTGATGGCTACCTATAGTAGTGATTAATTCATGAATTTTCCATAAGCTAATTTCAATCCATTTTTATAAGTTCTAAGTACATATCTCATGAGGAAAAATTTGTGCTTAGAAACTAAGGTATTATGCCAACCATCCTTAGAATTTTTCTTCATGACATAAAGAGTAGTGTAATTCCTATTCATTTCCCATCTTGATGTGCTACCTCCTTCTATTCAGATCTTGAAGGAAAAGAGAAAAAAAACCCTAAAACTTTTTCTCTTAACTGCTTTTTATCAGGTACTATCTATCTCCATTTTGCTTGGATCAAATAAGAATGTGAGGAATAGTGTTTTTTCTTGTCAGTTATTTATTCTCACTACACTGGAGACATCCTTGATTTTTGAAGTAGCAGCTCCATTGAAGTATATGAGTTATTAAAAATGGGTGTTGTGTATTGAAATATTAGCTTGTCTTTATTTAATTGAATTAGTAAACCATAATATATTATTATTTATTTTTTTAAAGCCTGACATATATGAGGTATTTTGTAAGTGAAATCTCAGTTTCAAAACTTACTTTCTAAGCCTCAGTTTTCTTTGTGTAATAACGTCCCTGGAGCTGTGCTGGGAACATAAACTGGGGTTCCACTGCTGCTGTGGCCCAGCCTTCTGCCTGCCAGTGTCTCTTGATTGAGAGATAGGAGAGCCGTTAAACACTTCAATCATCTATGCCATCTTTACTGAGTGTACTGTTTCCTTTTGAGGTCTAGTCAGTCAACGGAAAGCATTTTATGTGTGCAGTGTTCCCTTTTCAGATGAGAAATCTAAAAATGTTCTTAATGCCTTTCTCTGAGTATTGTATTGAGACAGAAAATGCAATGCTTGGAAAAGAAAAGCAACTCTTCATTTTAACCAAAGATCTGTCTTAATGAGTGATCCTGGTTGGAATTATCAACACTCTGCTGAGTTATTAACTGGGATTATTAACATTCTGAAGTCCAGGGCTTCATATTTCAAAGCAAGAACTGAAGTATTTCTTGCTAATTGCTGGTGTTTTAGACATTTGCTGCTAAAATAGTATCATTGAGAAGACAAAGAAATAACTTCAAGGCATTTATTGTATCAGGATAACCAAGTGTCTACTACTCTTAAAAGAGAAAAAAAGTTATTCCTTTACATCAAATACAAATTATTACAATTTTCAATTCCTTTGACTTACAAATGTGTAGTAATTTTTAAAAACTGAAATAAGGTGAAATATTTCTGTCTATATGGTATCTCATTATTTTTCATTGCTGGAGGAGTGAGGGGTATAATTTTAATATTTTAAATTTTAATTGTCACATCATATTGGATGAGCTATTTGATGGCAGGCCTCCCAAATCTAGAAAATAAAATTGAATTATGTCCACCATTACCATCTTTGTACTGTTATAGAGAAGTAATAAATGTTGATAATCCCTAAACTTAATTGGAGTGCATTTTTTATCTAATTTGTTCTTGAAAGCTGATGGATGAAGTATCTTCTTATGTCCTCTACAAAACACTCTTTAAGCTTAAACAGTTCTTTCTCCTCTGTTCCTCCTTACCCTTTGGAACATCAGAAGAAGCAAATTGTCAATATGTGGAAAAAGTTAAACAGTAGATGAATAATTCAATTGAGTTTCAGTAAAAATCCATCATTATTATGAAAATTCAATACATGCTAACTATTTTTAAATGAAACATCTCTGGTCCCTTGAAAAGAGGTGGCTACCTGAGAGAATGGAAATGAATTACAAATTAAGCACTCTTGCAATAACTATTTAAATATCCACTATCTCCTCCATTGTGTATGTAATTCTATTTTGCCTCAAGACTTCAGAGTAAATTAGAGAAAAGTAAAATCTAAACTCTGCTTTCTATATAGCTCTTTGTGAGCAGAAGTTGATGAACAGAGAGTTCATTGTTACATAGCTATATTCTGAAGACAACACATGGTCTGTATCTTCTCTTCCTGTTGCTGTCTCCCCATGCCCCAATTTTACCCATTGTGTTCATAGTATGATTTCAACAGCAAAAATAATTTTTAGTATTATTCTTTATAGACACCTAGATCAAAATATTTGTTGTGTACCCAAGACTTTTGCTAAAGTCATTTTTGTACAGTTGTCAGAACTGCCAGTGTCTTGTTCTTGGCAGCAGTGAAATTTTACTATAGACTCTAGGTCTGAATATACCTATCAGATTTTTTTAATGACTTCTTTTAATATGTTGTTTTTGTTTTTTTTAGAGAGAGAGAGAGGAAGGGAGAGGGCTAGAGAGATAGACACATAGATGAGAGAAACATCAATCAGCTACCTCCTGCACGCGTCCTACCGGGAATCGAGCCTCCAACCCGGGCATGTGTCCTGACTGGGAATCAATCCATGACCTCCTATTTCATGGTTGGACGCTGAACCACTGAGCACACCAGCCAGGCTGCCCGTCAGAATTTTAATGCAATTACTGAACATTTAATATTATTCTCCATCTTTGTTGGGCTCTAGTTTGTTATAAAGACAGCTCAAATTACAGAAATAAAAATATGTTAAATAATGTATTTTTTTTTGCTTTATTACATTTTTTTCTTCAAAAACTTGACAAAGTATTAGTGAACTCTTTCAAAACAGTATGTTAATTTCAAAGATGTGTTTCAAGTACAACAGTTTTTGTGATTATTGTAATTCTTAGTTTCACTTAAAAAAGATAATTTGTGCCCTGACCAGTTTGGCTCAGTGGATAGAGCGTCAGCCTGTGGACTGAAGGGTCCCAGGTTCAATTCCGGTCAAGGGCATGTACCTTGGTTGTGGGCACATCCCCAGTGGGGGGTGTGCAGGAGGCAGCTGATCAATGTTTCTCTCTCATCGATGTTTCTAACTCTCTATCCCTCTCCCTTCCTCTCTGTGAAAAATCAATAAAATATATTTTTTTAAAAAAAAGATAATTTGTGTTCCATGGATATTCTACTTTGTAAAAATATTTGAGTAAGAGTATCTAGATAATATTACTTGTACTTTTCCCAGAAAAGCAACTTAATTATATTTATTTTCAAACTTTATTATATGAGCTGGGTTGCTAGTTCCCATCACCCTCCCAAGTGACTTTTAAATGGAAAGTAATTATCCTTATGATTTTTATCCTCTGATCTCTGCCATAGGTCTTATGATAATGGTCATTGTATATTGAATGGAACACATGGTACATCTTCAGAGATGAAGAGATCAAACATGCCTGAGTTAGGCATATATATAAAGGGTATGTATGATACATATTCTCTTGGTATTCTACATCTTAATGGTCAGAACTTAAAGGCAAAAGTCCATGCCAATGTTGAACTGAAAATACATTAAGATTTTGTGTTATCCTCTAGGAGATGTTTTTGATTCAGCCTCTGATCCAGTGCCATTACCACCTGCCAGGCCTCCAACTCGGGACAATCCAAAGCATGGTTCTTCACTCAACAGGACGCCCTCTGATTATGATCTTCTCATCCCTCCATTAGGTTGAAACCTTTTTTAAAAATTTCTAACAAGCCACCCTGCCTCTTCTTCCAATTAATATCAGAATTATCAGAAATCAGAGTTCCATGTAATGCAGACTCACTAGGTTCTGAATCTGTCTGAATTAGAATGGATTCTTCAGGTGATGGTGCTCTCAAGTTCATGTGACCATTATTCCATTCAGAGAATTGAAGCAATGGTGTCAATAGCTGGCCCTCAGACTTTTATCAAGTTATATCTTCATGTACTAAATGTAGTCTACAAAAAAATCTATGAGAGCATTGTTCAGGCACTTGTGTTCTAGTAGATTTGAAGTGGTCATCTGAAATTTTCTTTAAGTACAGTTTTTAACAAATGTGTACTGTTGCTTTCAGTATAAGTTGATCTGGTCCCACTTAGTTACATTATAGAAAATTATATATTTTATTGTAGAGAGCTGAGAATAAATTATCTTATCATTGCAAAGATTTGTAAAAAACAGATCCAACAAATCTAAATTTCTTTGTTTCAAATTTTAATATGAAGAAGCATACTTTGTGTTTGGTGTGTGTACCTGTGTGGAAGTACACAGGTGTGTATGTATGCTAAAGTTGGCTGGCTGTGTTAATTCCTTAAGTCTAGGTGGGAAGTTTCTTGCCCTATTTTTAGAGGAAGTCAACTAGAACCTTCACACACATTAAGGCTTTACAATAACAGGTCACCATAATGTAAAATAATGTATGCTGAAGGTCCATTTATAAGCTTCTCTGAAATATTAGAATACCAGAAATGTGAAGTAAACCTTTTTATTTTTTTCCTCAAACACCATCAACCAGTGTTTCCAGTTACACTATTGCAGTGTCTTTTACTCTCCTGTTCTTTTTATTTTACACTTGAAACCTCTCCTGTCTTTTCAGTAGTTCAGTGCTTTATTCTCACCTACATGAACGACAAGTCTTCTAACTTCTTTATGTGGTATTTTTCTCCCTCCTTCTTCCTATACACAAATGTTTGACCTATTACCCAAGTCTTCAGGATCTAGATGATCACTGTCCAATAGAACTTCATGTGGTGATGTAAGGGTCTATATATTCACATGTGTGATGGCGGAACTGAATTTTAGTGAAATTTAAACTTAATAGCTACATGCGCAGGGTGACTACTATATTGGGCAATACAGACAATGCTCCAACTTGTCTTTTTAACCCCACTTTCCTCTGTACATCTCATGCTTTATTCACACTGTTTACTCTGTCTGAAAGACACCACCTTCCCATTTGACAAATATTTTTGAGCCACTGATAGCCCAGACCTTCTAGTTCTTCGTAACACCTTGCTTAATGCCAATTTCTTCATTTCTCTTCCCTCTTAAAATGAATCTCTCACTGTGGGACCTATGGAACTTTCATCTTGAATCATTAGTGAACTTTTCTTAGATCTCCTTATGGACTCTAAGCTCTTTGGGTCACATCCTTATGATTTAGATCTTCACGTTACCTATGTGCCTGGCATGGTGCCCGACACTGAGGGCTAAAAAAGTATTTGAATGAATCAGATAATTTAGCAGATAGCTTAAGGTTGGAATGATAACAGAACTACCTCTCCTGTACCTTCACATATTTTAAGTTAGAAAAATATTTATGATCATTAGAGAAAATACCTTCAGTATTTTTTGCAAAGCAAGCTGTATGAATCGTAAAACTATTTTCTTTACGTATACCTTATTGTTTGTCAGTAAATTTAAATATGTGTGAGTTTTTGTTACTGGAATATGTGGCTGTTTATTTATACACTGTTTCATTCACAGACCATTTGAGATTGCTTACATACTCTGCAACTTAATTTTTTTAAAGAATCAATATAAGGGGAAATGTGCGTAGAATAGTACATATGGCAGGGGGAAATAGACAAAAGCATGTCACAGTGTTCTGTAGTTGCTAAAACTGGGAAATATGCAAATATGAGTAACTGGCTTTGTGACCACACAATGTAGTTCTATATTTAACTATTTCTCTTTAGAGATGTATTGTAATAAAAAAATACATTTTTCTCCTGTAGGTGGCTATTTGCTGTATATTTTGATAATGAAATATATGGAGCATTAGCTTCAATAAATTATAACCTAGTAGGATAAAGTTTAAAAGATAATCTATTCTGTGACATTAAATTTTTGTGCATAGTGTGATTTTCTAATTAGAGGCTGTTACACAAAAGGTTCAGTGTGACATAATTTTTAGTTCAAAATTCTAGTGTCTTAATATTATAAATTTCACAGGTGAATAGTAAGCTGTTTCATAACCTGTGGTGCTGCTTTTTAATAGAAAGACCTTGGAAATAGGAAAAGTTTGCACACACACATGTATGTGTGTGTATCTGGTTTGCTGCTTCCATAGTCCCGCAAAATAATTAACTCCCATTATCAAAGTTGGTGAACAGCTGGATAAACACTGCAGGTGAAGTTCTTTATAAGCAGCAAGAGAAAATCAATTATTACTTTGGCCTGATACTGTGTTTTGACTAATAAAGTTCTGCTGTTGATACTGACCTTTCTTTAAATGCAGGTGAAGGTGCTTTTGATGCCCTCCCCCCTTCCCTCCCACCTCCTCCACCTCCTGCAAGGCATAGTCTCATCGAACATTCAAAACCTTCTGGCTCCAGTAGCCGGCCATCCTCAGGACAAGACCTTTTCCTTCTCCCTTCAGGTAGGAGAGAAACTTTTCACTTAAAGCAAAAATATTTCTAAGGTCATACTGTCAAATGAGTAATTCATTGGTTTCTATCTCCCTGGGGGGTTGGGGGGGAAGAAACCCTGGGAGGGAAATAGCAGTTGGGTAGGTTTGTTTGTCAATTGATTGGTTTAATTGCAAAAGGATTACAAAAATAGCAAAAGCAGTAGGAAGAATAGAATATGTAAATGGTGCTATAGACATCATCCCAGTCCAGATAACACCCTTATGTTACCAAGGCATCCCTGAGAACCAGAGGGCTCCATGATTGGGCTAATAGTGATGGGGACAAAATATAGACTTTGTCTCCGATTCTGAGTGCAGTAATTTTTTTTTTTTAGTAAGTTTTAAAATTTTTACTACATATATTTTAGGGGCATAATTTCATTCAAAAACATATTTTGGTAAATTATAACAGTGATAAATTTTTCTGAATTACCTTCATTTTATTGTTTTGTTACTGTTTTTATTTTTAAGTAATCATTAGTAACAGTATTGAAAAGTATTCATGGGGACTTGACTGTGACCTTTATAAAGTGGTGTCATGATGTGGCTACCAAGGGAGCTTATGCTATGACACTGACAAGTCAATCAGGGTTTTTGACTGTAGGAAGTTTTTAGATTACTGCTTCAATTTCATAGTAGATATCAGTCTGCATAGATTTGCTGTCTTCTTGATTCTGTCTTAGAGGATTGTATGTTTCTAGGAATTTGGTTCTTCCAAGTTGTCCATTTTCTTGGAATATAATTGTAGTATTTTCTTATAATCATTTGTATTTCTGTGGTGCCTGTTGTCACCTCTCCTCTTTCAATTCTTTTTTTCTTAGTGAGTCTGGTTAAAGTTTTAACAATGTAATTAGTCTTTTCAAAGAACCTCTTTACATTGTCTTTTTAGACTATATTTCTATTGTTTCCACTCTGATTTTTGTTATTTCCTTCCTTCTACTCTTTTGGGTTTTGTTTGTTCATCTTTTTCTAGTTCCTTTAGGTGTAATGTTAGATTGTTTATTTGAGATTGTTCCTGTTTCTTGAGGTAGGCCTGTATTGCTATATATCTCCTTCTTGGAACTTCTTTGGCTGTGTTAGATAGATTTTTGGGGTCATTGTGTTTTCATTTTTATTTGTCTCCAGATATCTTGATTTCTTCCTTGATCTCACTGTTAAATAGTATGATAACTTATATGTTAGGATTCATTGTTCAGTAGCATGTTATTCATCTTCCATGTGTTTGTTTTTCAGTTTTCTTCTTGTAATTGATTCCTAGTTGCATACCACTGTGATAGAAGATGCTTCATTGGACTTCAGTCTTTTTCAATTTATTGAGACTTATTTTTTGGCCTACTTTTTGATCTATCCTGGAAAATGTTCTACGTGCACTTAAAAAGAATGTACATTCTTATACTTTTGGGGAAGTGTCCTAAAAATATCAACTTCATCCTGTGGTATGAACTGACATTGAAGGCAACTGTTTCCTTGTAGATTTTCTGTCTGAATGATCTATCCATTGATATCAATGGGATGTTAAAGTCCTTTATTATTACTATATTACTATTGATCTCTTCCTTTATGTCCTTTACTAGAGGCCCAGTGCACGAAATTTGTGCAAGGTGGGGAGAGGTCCGCTCAACCCAGCATGCACCCTCTCCAATCCGGGATCCCTCTCACAATCCTGGACCACTGGCTCCTAATCGCTCACCTGCCTGCCTGCCTGGTCGCCCCTAACTGCCCTCACCTGCCGGCCTGATCGCCCCTAACTGCCCCCCCTGCCGGCCTGGTCATCCCTAACTACCCCCTCCCTGCTGGCCTGATCGCTCCCAACTGCCCACCACCCCACACTACCTCTGCGTGCCAGCCTGGTTGCTCCTAACTGCCCCCGCCCCGCCGGCCTGGTCACCCCTTACTGCCCCACCTGCTGGCTTGGTTGCCCCCAACTGTCCTCCTCTGCTGGCCTGGTTGCCCCAACTGCCCCCCACCAGCCTGGTCACCCCCAACTGCTCCCCTCTGCCAGCCTGGTTGCCCCACGCAGCCTGCTTGTTCAGTCGTTTGGTCATCCCTCACTAACCCCCCTGCCGGCCTGGTCTTAGGCAGCCATCTAGTGAGGGTGTGAGGGTCAATTTGCATATTACCTCTTTATTATATAGGATATTTACTTAATATATTTAGATGCAACTGTGTTACATGTGTAGATGGTCACAAGAGTTATACTTTCTTGTTGAATTGATCTCTTTATCATTATGGAATGTTATTTTTTTCCCTCGTTACAGCCCTTGTTTTAAAGTTTATTTTATCTGATATAATTATTGCTACCCCAGTTTTGTTTTGTGTCCAATTGAATGAAATATCTCTTTCCATCCCTTTACTTTTAGTCTGTTTGTGTCTTTCAATCTGAAGTGGGTCTCTTTTAGGCAATATATGTATGGTTCTTGTTATATTAGCCATTTATCCATTCACCCATGCTAGGTCTTTTGATTGGAGCATTTAGTCCACTTACATTTAAATTAATTATTGATAGTTATTTAGATACTTTTACTTTATTATTTTCTGTTGTTTTTGTAGTTTTCTCTGTTCTTTTATTTTCTTGCTCTTCTTTTCTTGTATGTTGATGACTTTCTGTAGTGTTGTATTTGGATTCTTTTTCTTTATCTCTTGTATATCTCATAGATTTTTGGTTTGTGGTTACTGTGTGCTTCATATATACAAGCTATTCATAGCATTTTATTTTAAGTTTATGATTGCCTCAACTTGAATGCATTCTAAAATCACTATCATTTTTACTCATCCCTGTCATTATTAATAAAGAGCTAATATGCTAATGGTTGATACGCCATAATGGTAATGACCAGGTCATTAGCATATTAGCTGAGGCATTGCTCTGGAGACGGGGCGGAAGTGGGGAGGTGCTCAGAGGAGGCGGGACCATCCCGTGCCGGGGAGGGCAGGGGTGACAGCCCATAGTGCCCCCCTCACCAGTCCTTCGCCACCCACCGCTCACACTCTGAGTGCCGCGCGGCCCACCTGCCATGGTAAGGAGGATAGCGCAGCAGGTGGGAGGCTTCCACACTCTCCTCTGGCGCCATGTTACTCCGGCGATGGGGCGAAAGTGGGGAGGCACCCAGAGAAGGCAGGACCAGCCTGAGGCGACTCAAGGGACTGACGGCAGGGCTTGAAGTGGCCAGAGAAAGCCAGAGGGTTTGGGGCTGGGCCAGGCATTCTGGAGCTCTGCGTGGACAGGTTCTGGTGTCAAGGCAGGCCTGCAGGTGGGTGGGCCGCACCACGTGATTTCGAATCGTGTGCTGGGCTCCTAGTATACTTATATTTTGTACTTCTTTTGTGCATGTGTTTGTGTGTATCCCTTAATTTATTGTTGTAATAACACATAATCTTCTTACTTTTGTCTTTCACCAGTTAACTGCCACGCATCCAAAATGGAAACCATCCCCACATGCCACGATATTTTGAATTGAATTGCATCTATAGATGCTTATGGCGTACAAAGGGTTAATGCTTGTACAAGCTTTGTAGTTGGATGATCCACAGCTTTTCCTAGATGTTTGCCTTTGTCAGTAAGATCCTTTTTTCTTTCCTGTACTTTCTTATTCGTATTTTTTATCTTTTCTTTCAAATTAAAGAAGTCACTTAACATTTCTTGTAACACTGAGTTAGTGGAGATGAACTCCTTTAGTTTTTTCTTGTCTGGGAAACGCTTTATTGCTCCTTTGATTCTAAATGAAAGCTTTGCTGGGTAGAGCAGTCTTATTTGTAGATCCTTGCTTTTCATCATTTTGAATATTTCATGCCATTCCCTCTGGCCTGCAAAGTTTCTGTTGAAAAAACAGCTGATTGCCTAATAGAGCTCCCTTTACATAACTAACTGCTTAAGATTTTCTCTGTGTCTTTAACCTTTGAGATTTTAATTATGTGTCTTAGTGTGGGCCTCTTTGGGTTCATCTGTTTGGGGCTCTCTATACTTGTATGTCTGTTTTCATTGTTAAATTAGGGAAGATTTGGTTGTTATTTCTTCAAATAGTATTAAATCCCTTGTTCTTTCTCTTTTAGTACCTTTGATGCAAATGTTGTAACAACTGATGTTGTCCCAGAGGTCACTTAAACTATCCTCCTTTTTTAAAATTCTTTTTTCTTTATGCTGTTCTAATTGGATATTTTTAACTCCCTTGTCTTCCAGATGGCAGACTTGATCCTCTGCTTCATCTGATCTATTGTTGATTCCAGCTAATTTCATTTCAGTTATTGCATTCTTCATTTCTGACTCTTTTTGTTGTTGTTGTTTTCTATCCCATTTTTACCTTTCCTACCTCACTGTTAATGTTCTTACTGAGTTCATTTACTCTTCACCTGCATTTATTGAGCATCCTTATAACGTGTTTTGAACTCTGCATCTGGTAGATTGCTTGTCTCCATTTCATTTAGTTCATCTTCTAGTTCTTTTGATACATGTTTCTTTGAGTCCTTATTTTGGCTGACTCCCTGTGTTTGTTTCTATGTATTAGGTAGATCTGCTTCATCACCCAGTCTTTGAGTGTGGCCTAATGTAGCTGTCCTGTGGGACCCAGTGGTGCAGTCTCCCTGGTCATCTGAGTGGATTGCTCCAGAGATGCCCCTTGTGTGTGTTGTGTGTACCTTCCTACTGCAGTTGAGCCTTGATTACTGTTTGTTTTCTTGTTTTAGTTTATTTTAATCCTCACCTGAGGATATGATTTTATTGGTTTTTTTAGAGAGAGGAAAGGAGTGAGAGAAACATCGATGTGAGAAAGAAACATCGAGAGGCAAAAAGAGAATCATCGCTGTAAGAGTTAAACATCAATCAGTTGCCTTCAGTACATGCCCTGAACCCACAACCTTTTTGGTATATGGGATGACAGCGCTCCAACCAACTGAGCCACCAACCAGGGCTTGATTATTGTTTTCATGTCAGTGGTAGGTTTGACCTTCAGGCTGACTGGGTCTGAGAGCTGGCTGTGACTATAGAGGACAAGCTGTTTTGCAAGGGCTGACTCCACAGATTAGGGGTCTCTTCGATGGGACTCTATTGCCAGCCACGTCTGCCCTTCAGGTTTGTCATTTGTAAAGCTAGTTGGTGGGGCTCTGATACTGGCACCTGGTGTGTACTGTTCTGGAGCCTCTTGGGTGAGGCTATAGTGCAGGTCAGGTTCATCTACTGCTTGTTCCTCGCTTGGGGTTATCTGGTAAGAGCTACAAAACATCTGTAGTTGGTTTCTACTTGTGCTGAGCTTGGAGGTTCCTGAGAGAGGCTATTTTACAAACCAAGGCTGGCAGCCATTGGTGTTGGACTTGGAACCCCTTGGTGGGCACCAGGATGTGGGTTGAGGCCATCTGCCACTTGTGCCATGTTTGAGGCTACATTCCAAGCCAAGACTGGCCACTGCTTATGTCAGACCTGGGGCTACCTAATGGGAGTTACATTGCCAAGTTGAGATTGATCACTGATCATGCCTATCTTCGTGTAGAAAAACACACAAAGGCCAGATATTTACTGCTTTCTTCGGCTTTGTGGACCTTTGGGAGGTTTTAGGAAAGTCTGCAGATAAGCTAAGGCAGGCTGCTTGCATGGAGGATCCACTGGAAAAGGTTCAACTGGACATGCTGGTAGGGTGAGATCTCAGGGAATCATCAGGGTGGGGCTTAGAGTGTTAGCCAGGTTAATAGAGATCCCAGATTTAGCACCCACTTGGGCCAGAATGGCTGGGTAAGGGGAGCCCTCAACAAAAATACAATGGCACCTGCCAGCACTTCCAACCCTGGAGAGAGCTGTCTCGACCCCTGCCCATCCAGCCCTACCCAGTCAGTTCAGTTTCTCCCCATATGTCCCTGACAGGTTTTGAGATGCTCCCTCTGCACAGGAGCCCAGAGTGAGTGAGTTTGTAAGTGAGTTTGTGCCCTTTAAGACCTGCAGCACCTAGTTCTCCAGCAGCCTTCCCTCTCACTCAGATGCAGTCCTTGATGGTTTTTACAGCCAGATGTTATCGAGACTCCTCTTCCTGGCACTGGAGTGCTGGTTTGGGGAGCTCAGGGTGGGACTGAGACCCCTTGCTCCTTAGGGGACACCTCTGCAGCTGAGATATGCCTCCTGATTCTTAATTGCCACAGCGTGGGTGTGGGATCTGCCTGTTTCATATCTCCACCTTGCCTACCAGGCTCTGCATGGCTCCTTTATATCCTTAGTTATAGGACTTCTGTTCAGCTAGATTTCAAATGGTTCTCAGTGATGGTTGTTGTTTAATTTATTTGTGAATTTGATGTGGTTGTGGGAGGAGTTGAGCACAGTGTTTGACTACTCTGCCATCTTTACCAAAAGTCTTTCCCATTTATTTTATAATTAGCAAACCTTTTCCTTCTAGTCTTCCCTTAGTTTTTTTTTTAAATAATCTTTAAATAAGTATTAAACTTTAAATTTAGCATTACCTACTGTAAATCACAGGCAGTAGTATTTTGCTTTTCAAAATAGATTAATCCCATCATGTTTATTCTCATTTCTCAAATATTTATTACTATACTAGGGGCCCGGTGCATGAATTCATGCATCTTGAAAGGACTGTGGGCCGCGAGGCTGCAGTGGGCACAGGGGCAGGTCCCGGCCCATCCTCTGCGCCCCCGCCTAGCCCCTCCCGCCACGGCCCCCAGTCTCCTGTCCGCTGGCACCCCCACTCCCGCCACCACTACTCCCACAAGCTGATGGCAGGGAGCGATTAGGGCCAGCACCAGCAGCAGATACAAGCAGGGCCAGTGGCGGCTAACAGCCCTGATCGCCCCTCAAGAACAGGTGGAGGTGCAGAAGCCCTGAGGGACGATTGGGGCCAGCAGCCACCACTCACACCCGCTGATGGTGCTGGCAGTGGGTGCGAGTGCTGGGTGGGACTGTGGCACATGGGAGCAAAGTATTTTCAGTAACCACTAGAGGCTCGCCCCAATGACAGCAGCCAGCGCCCTGCCTTGGTCTGGCACTCCCACTCACCTGCTCCACCATCCCGCCATGTTCCATGCGCGCCCCCTGGTGGTCAGCGCACATCATAGTGACTGGTTGTTCCGCCCTTCGGTCTATTTGCATATTAGAGTTTTATATATATATAGACTAGAGGCCCAATGCATGAAATTCGTGCATGGGGTGGGAAGGTCCCTCAGCCAGGCCTACACCCTCTCCAATCCAGGACCTCTCGGGGGATGTCCAACTGCCTCTCGCAATCTGGGACCACTGGCTCCTAACCGCTCACCTGCTTGCCTGCCTGATCGTCCCCAACCACCTCTGCCTCGCCCCGCACCCGGGACCCAGGATTCCCTCCTCTGGCCAGCCGCAGCCACCAGGGGCCATGGGCAGGTGGTTTTGCCCAGGCTGCAGGTGCCTGGGACCGGGGTGCGGGCAGCTTGTCCCTCTCCTGGGCCACAGGCGCTGGCACAGCCGTTGGCGCCCTGAACTACGGTGCAGACAGCTTGTCCCTCTCCCAGGCTGCAGCCTGGCTGGTCCCCATTCCTCTCTCGCAAGCTCATTTGTGCCTGGCTGGTCCCCATTCCTCACTCCCCAGTATTGAGTGTCTGAGCCATTATGGCATGATGGTGTGAGGGTGTGATGTCCATTTGCATATTAGCTCTTTATTATATAGGATAATGGTACATTGGCTGTGGTATTTTCAATTTGTATGTTTTAACCCTAAGTGTGGATATAAAATGTTACTGAAATTAGTTTTTGAAGAGTTATTTTTTTTTAAACTTTATTGCTTTTCAATTTGTCCTTATCGGGAGACAGTTAATTATGTATCTCTATAGTAACTGTGTATCTTTTTCCATTGAAGCACCAGTACTAACTTCACAACTTGCTATAAAAGCATGACAGAACATGGCAGCGATTCAGACTAAACAATATATTATTTATGGTATTTTCCATGTATCTAGTGACTTTTTAAGTGAAATAGTTTAACAGAACAACATCATAACTGTATATTTTGTAGTCTATTTATGACATTATGTATTTAGAATCTAATGTTTAGCTTTAAATAAATAGATGATTGAAAACAGCATATCTGACAAACCCAGAAATTACCTCTAAGGAAATAAAAAAGTATAAGTATTGCAAAAAATAATCTTTCCTCTAACCTATTACATCAGTGAGGGTTTAGATTGCACAACTTAAAGTAAATTTTATTGAATAAATCTAAATCCTTGAGAAATTTCTAAATTTGTTCAGAAATTACTATATTTGGTCCCTTTGGTTACTTTTTCTTATCAAGATTAACATTTAACATTTGTTGCATAGAATTTGATTTATCTTCCTAAAACTTTTCAGCAAAATTGAGGCTGAACCACTGACTCTTCAAATATTGAAAGCTCAAAATCTAAGACTCATTTTAATCTTGAAATTAATGAAAGCAACTTAAGTAGCCTTGCTTAGGCCAAAAAGTCTCCAGTAAAGCTGGGGATAATTATTGTACTCGAATAGGGAAAAAATAATCAATGACTTCAAGTCTTGCCTTACTTATCTAGTCAAAAATTGGTATAAATCAGCATGAATTACCTTCTTAAGTAACCAAACTCTTACATATTCTTAATGAAAAACTCAAATGGAAGTTAAAACAATGAAATATAATTAGGTCTTTAATATTTATAATTTTAGCCTTGTCAGCAATTCAAATTTCATGGATTTGTCAGTGAATTTCATGGGTTTGATTTTGAATTTCTGAAAAATCAATCTGTCTGCGTTTACCTTTTGTAGTTAAAAGTAAATATTTTTGAAGTCCAGGCTATTTGCTAGGCACTGTTCTTGGTACTGTGTTTGTGTTAGGAGAGAAAATTCAAACAGGATGAATAAGATAAGGTCCCTGACCTCCAAGAACTGTGGTAGCACCTTTGGAGATCTGGCAGATGTAAAAGTGAGTGCGATTGAGAGAGGAAAACAGAGGAGCCCGTGATGGAAGTGGTGGCTAAATAAATTATCACTGACCCAAAACAGTCAGTTCTATGCCTTTAAACCCAGGAACTACTAATTGTAAACCAGTTAAGTTTATGCGCCTAACCTTTGATATAGTAGCATTGACAAAATCTCTTTCTGCCTTTAGTTCCAGTTAATAAATATCACTAGAAATAGTAAATTTTAATTTGTCTACAATATATATTTTTCACTATTTCAGATGCCCCTTCTCTGACTGCCAAAGTAGAAAAAAAAATCACAACTTTTAACAATTAAATTCACTATTCAGTGAGCCAATTAACAACAATGATTTTTAACATAGGATGCCTACTGTAATGTCATTTTAAAAAGCACCATATGTGTACAGGGGATTTCACATTCATAAATTCATTTAATCCTCACAAATCACAAATGTAATGTCCATTTTACAAATTGCCTACTAAGAGTGATTAACTGATTTCAGATAGTTAAAAAAAAAGGGATTTTGAATTTTGCTCTATTACAACAGTTTCTGTAATTTATTCATTGTACATGAAAGATTGGAACAGAAAATAAAAGTTAGAAACAGCTGCATCGACAATTTTACAATTAATATCTGAAAATATAAAATTGGTAATCTTTATTATCTAGGAATAAATGGGAAAACATTTCATTGACAAGTAGAAAGAAAATATGCTGGCAGATTAAAAATTGTTATTACCAGTCATGAAATTAGTTTTGTAATTTATTTTCAAAAACTAGAATCTCTAGAATTTTTTCTTCAATCAACCAACAGAGACATTCTAATTTTGAAAATTATCTTTAATTTTTAAGATCCCTTTTTTGACCCAGCAAGTGGTCAAGTTCCTTTGCCTCCTGCTAGGAGATTGCCAGGTGAAAATGTCAAATCCAACAGAACATCCCAGGATTACGATCAGCTTCCGTCCTCTTCAGGTGAGTTGGCTAATAATAGTAATAATACCTTCTGTTTATTCAGTGCTCTTTGGAGTACCTTACCTTTTTATTCATTATACAGTTCAGCGAGCACTGCCAGCCTAAGAAAGTATTTTTATTACCTTTGCAAGTTACTTATAAAGCTTGTATAATGAGAGGATTGCCTACAAAATTACTTCATGGAAAAGAAAAATCGCTGTTCTGTTATCTTTGATTAGTCAGTAAAATGTGTTCTCTGATGCGTATCTATTCATTCTCTAATTTTTGTTCTGCCTTACCAGATATCAGAAAAGGGAAAATCTCTATATACATTATAATGCAACATTCTCTCATTTCTCCATTAAAGGAAGAAATCTCTTTAGAATTAATACTAGCACCAAACTCTTAATTTTTACAGCTTATTTAGGGCTACCAGTCAGTGCTCCACTACCAGCCATTAAGTGGAAGGATATACTATTTTAGAAAATACAAGCCATACTCATAACCCATACTTTTTTTTTTTAGCAATTTGGACAATATTTTTATCTCATAATTGTAAACATCATTTTTCTTACTAGATTTTTGTTCTTAAGCTCAAACCTCAGTTCACAGAAGGTTTGTTATTAGTGATAGCCATATATTCTGTAACTTCTGAATCAAAATTAGTAATGGCTGATTTGAGAATTATCAAGCCAGTTCTTACATACTTGGTAACATGCATGGGAGATGCTGAAATTCTCCTATAAGTCTTAATACCTGAATAAAACTCAGGAGAACATAGAATATTTTATTAGCCTTTTCAAATTTTGGTCCATGCTCTTACCAGTTTACTTCTAGTCTTTCCAAGATTTTAGATATATCCATGGGGTAGCCAATGAAGCACTGTAATTCCAATCGAAAGGGTAGATTTTCAGATCAGTGAAAAAGTGTGAAAAGTCAAGAAGGGTAGACAATACCAGGCAGCTTCTATGTAAATGAAGGAATCAAGTCCCATAAGGAAATGATGTAAAAAGTACAAGTTTGAGGAGAGTACCATGACTGATTTAGAATACCACCAACTCTGAATTAGAAGAAACATATACTCAAGTTATGGGGAGAGTTGTGGCCAAAATGCCCTATTTTCACAGCTTCTTTACAGTTTGTTCCATAATATGTGGGTGTTGTAGAGCCCAGAGGAACATCATTCACCTGTATGATTTCAAATGGTAGGAATTCTGATTACCCTAGAAATTTTAAGGATAAACCTTGAGTCACAAACCTTTTTGAAATGTCCCCAAATAGGCATTTACCGGAAGCCTGAACCAGCTTTTACCTGCGTGATAAAATAGGCCTGGTTATTACTCTGAGAGCTTCCACTAGCTGTGACATCAAATATTTCAACCTACTCCCTGAACTCTTTACAAACAAGGTCAAACCTTAGAAAATAAGATACTTTTTCCAATAAGATACTTGCTCTCATGTAGTTCACAGAGCTACCAAGATGTCCACTTGTTAATTTCACACCAGCAGAGGGACTGGGCTTGCCTTCTGTCCCTAGGTCTTTCTGTCAAAAACTTGAGACTGGCCCTAACTGGTTTGGCTCAGTGGATAGAGCATCGGCCTGTGGACTGAAGGGTCCCAGGTTCGATTCCAGTCAGAGGCATGTATGTACCTTGGTTGCGGGCACATCCCCAGTGGGAGGTGTGCAGGAGGCAGCTGATTGATGTTTCTCTCCCATCAATGTTTCTAACTCTCTATCCCTCTCCCTTCCTCTCTGTAAAAAATCAATAAAATATATTTAAAACAAAAAAAAACTTGAGACTGGATGCTATGTGCCTTTAGGATTCTAATATATAATATGCTTTTATTAAGGCCTTTTTAAGATGACCGTTGAGGATTCTGATGTAATTGCTACACCTTATAAATTCAATTTCTCTGGTCTTTATGGTGATCTAAATGACTAGTAGTGACTTATTTATGTGTAAAATTTCTATGTAAAGACTCTTTCTAAAGAATTCGAAAATATAATTTCATTAAAAAAGGATGTGTATATGTGTGTGTGTGTATGTATGTATCTATGTGTGTGTTTGTATCCTATCTAATAATAGACAAACATGGTAATTGACCGTACCTTCACTACGCCTCCCATTGGCTAATCAGCGAGATATGCAAATTAACCACCAACAAAGATGGCGGTTAATTTACATACGTAGGCGCGAAGCAGCGGAGCGCAGACTGAAGGCGGCTCCGGCCGGGGCAGCGAAGGCTTGAAGGCGGCTCCGGCCGGAGCGAAGGCCTGGGTCCCTGGTGCCGGAGGAAAACCGGTGCCGGCAGCCAGGGGAAGGGAAGGCCTATTGCACGAATCTTTTCGTGCAACAGGCCTCTAATATATATATATGTCTGCATATACAAAGAGCCTTCCAAATGTTTAAGACAGTTATAAAAATTGTGGGGGAAGGATGTATTTTAGATGTAACAATTGATATTTAATGATAGTTAATCAGAAGTAACTGGATTTAACCAGCTTGTTAAATTTATATATATCTGTATATGAGGCACCTATTTTTTGCTAATAACCTGCTTATTTCTTCACATGGATATATTATTCATGTGGGATTCATGCCTATTACTACCTATATTTGAGTTTTCACAAATTTTACAGTTTTGCTTTTTTCGTTATAAGATAAAATTCGCTACAGTTTGAATACCGTTCTTGAAAAACCCAGGGAATCTATCTTGTAGTAGAACAACACAGTCATGCTGAGGAAATGCAGCATTAGCTCTGGAGATTTTTCATATTCTTAGCAGTTCAAGGCAACACTTGAAAATAATGCAATAATTTCAGCACATAACTTGTATTGAATCTATTTGTAACTGCTAAAAGATCTTATTGCCAAATATACAGACAAAATAAAGGTCTCATTATAAAGCAATTAATTCCAATACTACATTTCCTTTGGTTGCTTAAAGGAAAAGTAATTGAGTGTTGAATAAATTTTATATCAAGACCAAATATTCCATAGTTATCTCCATTAAAATTTCAATTAGAAATCATGGCTTCACTTCACAAAGGGTTGGAATTGTGTATTGTCATTAGTGATGTTTTAAGATAAATTATTGAAGATTTTGTTTTGTGTTTCAACAAGGATAATAAAACTGTTATAGTTTACACAGTTGGAATACCTGAAGTTTTTTTTCCTTACAAATCTAATGCTCTTTAATAACCATTAAAAATGGTATGTTATAACCTTAATATCATAATTGTCTATTACAGTATATGGTATTGATGAGTTTCAGATTTCAATTATGCCCTAATCAGTTAAATTTATATTATTTTTGTCATTTAATCCTCAGATACAGTTGAGAAATCAGTAGTTTGAGTCTTGATGTCCATCCCAAGTGTTGTCACTGAACTACTGAATAAGCTTTAGAGATTGTCTCAGATTGTACAAAACAATCTTTTTAAAATTTGTTAAGTGCATACTATTGGGCCAAATGTTATGCTAAGTATTCTAAATATAAACATGTATAAAATAGAATAGAATTTAAAAGCAACAAGAAAAAGAAGTCACCTGTAATCCTGTCATCAATAATGAACATTATTGCCATTTTAGTATTTCTTCCTAACTTTTTTTATGCACATGCTCACATAGTTGAAATCATACTTAATATGTCAATTCTATCCCAACTCCATTTAACATAGTATCATATGTATCTTACCACATAATTAAACTTTTAAAATGTCATTTTAAATTATGGTATGATAATCCATTATTTTTATGTATTGTCAAACACTACTTAATATTTTAAAAGTCTACAGAAATTCTAACTTTATATGCAAGAAAACTAACACATTAAGTGCCTCTTCTTTTGTTTAAAATACAGAAACTTGGTGTTGTAGTTATTGTTAAATAAGACTTAATATAAAAGAAATAGAAAGTAGGAAAATGTACTCATTAATTATGACATTTGCTTATTAAACACATCTTTCAAAATATGGACTAAAAAAAAACCCACAAAAACACCAAAGTTTAAATACTGAAAAATAAATAAATAAATAAGGACCTCTTGTGGTGAAATAGTTGGTATTCACTCCTGTAGATATTGACATACAACAGTGTCCCTCACCTATTTTTTTTTAATTGATTTCAGAGAGGACGGGAGAGAGAGATAGAAACATCAATGATGAGAGAATCATGGATCAGCTGCCTCTTGCACACCCCCTACTGGGGATCGAGCCTGCAATCTGGGCATGTGGCCTTGACTGGAATCGAACCTGGGACCCTTCAGTCTGTAGGCCGACACTCTATCCACTGAGCCAAACTGGCTAGGGCCCTTTTCTTTTTTATCATAGTCCACTTAAAGGCCTTTTTAGTCCTTTTTTCTACTCCTCAATCCTGCCCCACTCTGCAGTAATGAAAGTTTATTACCACAGATATACTAGATATACTACATATTTTTATGTACTGTGGCTCTTCAGAGGGCCACAACCCAAAGGATCTATGATTGTCCCTCAAGGATCAATTTTTGCCCTGTAGGGGTTGATAGTGCTCTCATTTAAAATGCATGATGCACAGTTCTCATTCAAGGGATTCTTCTAATCGTGTTGTCATCAGTTTAATTCCCATGCTATCCATGACTTTATGACTCTCTGCTCTTTAATAGATTCAGAAAATGAAAATTAAATCAAGATTTACCCTTAAATTATTGCTTCTAAAATCTTTCTCCACACCAAATAGTTAACTCTGAACAACACAGGCAGTAAGGCTCTAACTAAAAGTGGACAATCACATGCAGGAAATTGCTTCAGTCAGTTTAATCTAAAAAATATATGTAAATTTTGCATTTTACTTATTGGTACACCTGTATTCATTTCAGTATTAAAAACTATTAACAATCTCACATCCTTGAGTAAAACTGGTGCTCCAGGAAAATGTACTATTTATATCCACATATTCTTGCACTTATTTTGATGTTACTATTGCTCATAGGAGTTAAAAGTACTCTGAGCATGAACAACAGCTCTAGAGTAAACACATGCCCTTTCAATAACTGTTTTTAAGGATGATCTTTATTCAGGTACAGAAATTCCCATGGAGTTGGTAAAATTCCATCAGGCCATGTACTCCAAAACTACACTATCATAACTCAGGGAACTGTGAGATAGCTTTATCTTCTGTGTCATTGCTTCCTTCTCCTACCCACACACTCTAAAGCGAATGAGGACCTGCTGTCTCCTACCATTAGACATTTTGAAAAAGAACAGTGGGTACAGTGAAGGCTGTTTATGAGCTTTGGGAAGAAATGTGTCAAAAGAGAGATTCATTTAAGTAATTTGTTCTAATGATCAGCATGGAAATGGTCTGCCTCTTTTTAAAAAAAAAAACAGCTTTCCCTATTCAGGTTGTAGGATATTTTGCTTAAGATCTTGTTTAAAAGCTTTCTACAGAAGTGTGCACTCACAAAAAATGGCATGTTTTTATCCTCTTCCACACCTCTGACATTGCTCTTAATAACAGTAATTGCTGTTTTCAGTGTAGCAGTGATCACTGTAAATGTGAACTCATCGTCCTTTCTTTTTCATCATCTCCTCAGCACATACACCGAACATTACATTAATTAATTCACATTCTACCTGACTGGGAAGGGATAAGTAATAACTCTAAAAATGGAGACACAGGCGTAGATTTGGAGAATGAGAATTGTAAAAGTACATTGCTTAAATCAGAGTTACTCAATACCTTAGAGGCCATACTGAGATGCATCTAACCAAAACAGCCAAACAAAATAATTATGATATTCAAAATTGAATAAAATATTCAGTGACAAGTAGAAATTCATAAATATGTAGTATATCTAGTATATCTTTGGTAATAAATAACAACAGGTGTTAAAAATTTGCAACAAAGATTCCATTTTTCCATTTGTAGGCTCTAATACATGATAAAGTTCAACCTCTGGGCACTTGTAAGATTCTGAAGAGTTATCAGCACAGTTTGGGGGAAATAGATTTTGAGTTAGGCCAATGAGGGCTGGGATCTATGAGTTTTGGATTTAAAAGGGAAATCCATGTATTGAAAAAATATTTGCTTCAATAAGGTTTTATTTTTATTAAAATGTCTTCAAAATCTGTCAGGACTCATTCCAGAATGGGTTTAAATCATTTTCTCTAGTTGATATTTCCAATATAGTTTGTGTGCAAAAATAAAATACCAATTCCAGAATGAGAGACCTTCACTACTCTAACTAGAGATTTGATTTAATTGTAGTGTGTATGTGCAAGTGTTTTTTCCTTGCTAACTTAGGTTTCCTAAATTATGCTTACTGCTTATTTTTACAAGCAAAGAATAGTTTTCTCTTAAATAAAATTAGTCATTGGGATTTCATTGCATTTGGCCAGTATTCATTAGAGCAGCCTCACAGAGTGGATAGGTTTCCTGGGAATTTTTAATAGGTGCCATCTACCACGATCAAAGATACATACGTTTATTAAGTCTAAAAGCTCTAAATCGTAAGACTTCACTGCCAGTTACCCTATTTGATGCGACTCTGGCTGCCTTCCTGCACTACTTTAGCAGTACATACACATAGCTGTTCTTTCCACAGGTGTTTGACATTCCTGTGCCCTTCTTAGTATTTTGGACAGAAACACAATAACAATTGTAGAAAAAATCTTAGAAAATTATCAGCAGAATACAAGGAATTTTGACTTGATTTATGTCTAGGTACTTTTCTCAGTTAAATCAGAACAGAGATTTCAATGTATAAATTCTGTGGTAATTGATTAAAGGAAGGCCTGTTAGAATTTCTAATAGTTTTTTTGGAAATGATTAGAAGCAAAGTATAATTTATTGTTCATGTCTGCATAACATAATGGAAATACTTAATAGAAAAATAAATGGAACCTCAAAACACAGTAAACAATGCAATTTAGCAGACCATAAATATTTGAGATATTTAGTTACAGCAAGAAACAATACAGACTTAGCAAGAACCAAAAATTAATGTGTTCTTTTATATGAGCAGAATTTAATAAGCTTTACCTACCACTGTAATATTTTTTCAAACAAAGCATTATCTTATAAGAAAGAAAAAAATTAAAAACAAGACTATTATCCAGTTTGGTATGGAACCAAATATTTTCATCTTGGATGCTTTTATGTATGTTATATAGATACTAAGAGGCCCAGTACACGAATTCATGCACCAGTGGGGGCCCTCGACCTGGCCTGCGGGATCAGGCCGAAACCAGCTCTCCAACATCCCCCAAGGGGTCCCGGGTTGCAAGAGGGCACACACCAGGCCGAGGGACCCCACTGGTGCATGATCGGGGCAGGGAAGGGATGCAGGAGGTTGGCCAGCCAGGGAGGGACCACTGGAGGGCTCCAGGGTATGCCCAGCCCATTTTTCTCAGTCCCGATCAACCGGACCCCAGCAGCAAAGCTAACCTACCGGTCAGAGCGTCTGCCCACTGGTGGTCAGTGCACATCATAGCAACTGGTCAACCGGTCAACTGTTTGCCCCCTAGTGGTCAGTGCATGTCATAGCGAGCGGTTATGCGGCTTTAGCATATCCTTAGCATATTATGCTTTGATTGGTTGAACGGATGACCAGACACTTAGCATATTAGGCTTTTATTATATAGGATTGCTAGAACTGTGAATGGGATGATGTTTTTTGCAAGTTATCTTCTCATATAAAAATATACTTAGAAAAATATGAAATAAGGTATTAGATAATATTTTATGATTTAGATTTTATTATTGAAAATATCTACTTACAGTATCTCCTGAAGCACTGGGAAATGTGGTGAGGCAGCAGAGACTGGGAGGGGATAAGATGGGGGCAGGCGGCAAGAGGCATGGGGGTCCTAGCCTCACAGTCCTCGTTTACTTAACCGTGTTCTTGAATTTATCACTTGGCATTTGTGTATGCTCTAAGAAGAAAAAAGGTAAATAAACATTGATGTCTACATAGTGTTTTATGGCGTAAATTTGACAATTCTTATTGTAATATTTTTAAAATCCTAGGCATCTCAATTAAAGTACCAAATACAGATACATGGAAATCCATGAAAGAGTATACAGCCCTCTCAAGTTGCCAGCCCATGCCCTGGTGATGTGTATGGGGTGGTGGCCTGTAATTTTCTTTTGTCTTACTAAAATTACTCTCCACTTGTAGACACCAATGTCATTTGGTTTAACTGAGAGAAACTATTATCATCAGGGGACTGATCTGGAACCCAACTGGCCCTTGCTAATGTTTTGGCCGGCTTTGCTTTTTCTCAAGCAAAACTTCCTATATTGGAATCTGGATAAAGTATTTGAGCAAAGTACTTCTGTTCAACCTATTAACTAGCAGTAGACTCAAGGCATCTACATTTTCTTTTTATTTCCACCCCTCCGCCTGGGATCAGTAAGGCATCACTTTATAGCATTATTAACTTGAAAAATCAGACAGGCAAAGACAGTACAAACACGTTTCTCAGAGCAGTGCTGCTGTGACATGGGTGGGATGGAGGGCCAGGTGGGGTGTTCTGCAAGGAATGTTTGTGAGCTTGTAACAGACTTTCATCTAGTAGACACTTCCTCCATCTAGTAAATAAGGATGCGCTATGTTGCCAGAGTAAAAGCCTGTCTTTTTCAGGCAGGGTTTTTCCTTCTATATCTCTTACTTCGTAAAGCTTGAAGAATAATATGTGGAATTGGAAATAAATTGTGTTAAACATAGGGACAATGTAACCTACCCTACAATCTATCCTATATAATAAGAGCCTAATATGCTAAGTGTCCAATCGTCTGGTCATCCGTTCAACCAATCAAAGCATAATATACTAATGATATGCTAAGGCCACTCAACCACTCGCTATGGCGTGCACTGACCACCAGGGGACAGACAGTTGACCAGTCGCTATGACGTACACTGACCACCAGAGGGCAGATGCTCTGACCAGTAGGTTAGCTTGCTGTTGGGGTCCGGCTGATCGGGACAGGCGAGATATGCCCTGGAGCCCTCCCGTGGTCCCTCCAGGGCTGGCCAACCTCTAGCGTCCCTCCCTGGCCCCGATCATGCACCGGTGGGGTCCCTCAGCCTGGCCTGCACCCTCTAGTAATCTGGGACCCCTCAGGGGATGTCGGAGAGCCGGTTTCGGCTCAATCCCGCAGTTCAGGCCAAGGGACCCCACTGGTGCACGAATTCGTGCACCGGGCCTCTAGTGTATGTATGTGTGTGTGTGTGTGTGTGTGTGTGTGTGTGTATATATATAAAAGCCTAAGCAACTAGCTGACCAGCTGGTAGCTGTGACACGCACTGACCACCAGGGGGCAGACGCTCAATGCAGGAGTGGAAACCACAGGCATGGAAATGTAGAATAGAGTGATGAATCTCAGAGGGAAGAGGGTGGGGGGAGGGCGAGAAGAGATTAACCAAAGATCTTATATGGATACTAGAGGCCCGGTGCATGGATTCGTGCACCAGTGGGGTCCCTCGGCCTGGCCTGTGGGGATCGGGCCAAAACCAGTTCTCTGTCATGCCCCAAGGCATCCCAGATTGCACTAGGGTGCAGGCCAGGCCAAGGGACTCCATCAGTGCACGAATCCATGCACCGAGCCTCTAGTAGTGTATAAAAAAAAAAAAAGTTTAATTGTAGAGAAAATGAAAAACAGATTTTCATATAAAATGAGATCATACTAATGTTTATGTCTTTCCTTTTATCTCATTATCTAAATGATGCTTCTCTTTAAAATCTACACAGATGGTTCACAAGCACCAGCCAGACCTCCTAAACCACGACCCCGAAGGACTGCACCAGAAATCCACCACAGAAAACCCCACGGGCCCGAGGCAGCATTGGAAAATGTCGATGCAAAAATTGCAAAACTAATGGGAGAGGGTTATGCATTTGAAGAGGTGAAGAGAGCCTTAGAGATAGCGCAGAATAATGTTGAAGTGGCCCGTAGCATCCTCCGGGAATTTGCCTTCCCCCCTCCAGTCTCCCCACGTCTGAATCTATAGCAGCCAGGACTGTCACCATCCTCATGTCAAGCAATTGGTGCATATTCCAGGAGCATGGAAAGGAGAGACGTGCAGTGGAATTGGAGAAGGAAGGTGTCTCCTCTTCACGTGGCTTCTTGAAGGGCCTAGAAGAGCTGCTTCTCCGAAGACAGCTGCTTGCTCAGGATGGCCACAGCTGCGGCTTCTTTATTTTTGCAGCCATACTTTTAAATCAGGGTTGAACTGACAAAAAAATAATTTAAAGACGTTTACTTCCCTTGAACTTTGAATCTGTGAAATGCTTTTCCTTGTTTACAAGTTGTCGAAGTTGCAGTTTGTTTTTAGTTTTGTTTTTTTTATACTTGTACTGTGTTCTTGACGGACCCTTTGTTGAGCGGTCAGGTCTGCTGTAACATTTCCCACCAACTCCCTTGCTGTCCACACCAAACAACTAAGTCACATATTCACTTTGGTTTATCCCCTCAGACCTCATCCCCACCAACTGCATCTCTCCATTTACAAGATGCTTTAAAGGTTCTGATTTTCAACATATCAAACTAATGCAAAAAAAAAAAAGTGTGTGGCCTTCACTACTGAGTCTTCTTTTGGAAACCATTGTTGTGAGATGGGGAAAATCTGAATGTATAAAGCATTTTTTTTGCCAGTGAACTGCCTTTTATAAAGTGTTTTCATATAACATAGAGGAGCTTCCCTTTTTAGTCTAAGTTTTGGGATCTTAATCTTCTTTATTCTCATCTTTGTCATCCCAAGGGTGTCACGACTGTAAAAACCTGAACTATTTGAAAGCAACTACCTGCAGAGGTGGGGGAAATACTCTCACACATGACAATGTGTATAGAACTTGTATAATGAAGTCCCCTGATATGTATGCCTGAATCACTGTGAGGCATGCTGTCTCCCCAAAATACGCTCATGACTTTCAGGTAAAATTATGGTCATACCTCTCCCAAGTAGAGTCAAGGTCATTTCTTATTTGAGTGATTACACTCTGGTACCTAACAGGTTTAGGATCCAGTTCATTTTGCAGTGGAAACATTAAATATTTGATGCACTGTTAAGTGCTAATGCTACTGTGGCAAATTTTTTGTTTTATTTTGTATTTTGGTTTTGTGTTTTTTTGGTTTTTTTGCAAAATTCTTAGTAATTTTCTCTTTGCAATCAAATTACAATTCGTATTAAATTAGTAAATTCATTCATTGCTTCACAGTGCTCCATCCAGTCAGGTGAAAGAAATGTATAGTTTTGCCTTTTTTTTTTTGCAATATGGAGGTTGGTTCTTCAGAAACCGTGTTGATCCTTTTAATAACGCTACAAATATTTATTGTGCATCTGTGATGCCATCAGCACTGTTTTTAAAGCACAAACTGTTGCAAGCTGATTTCAGTTTGATTCTTTATCTGCGCTTTTGATGGTAAAAGTCTCTCTAATGGACAAAGCCTAGAAGGTTTCCATCAAAGCTTCAGAATTTTCAGGCAATCTGCTTTTTTATTCTTTCCTAATGACAAGTTAGTGGAGAAATGAGACAAAACCAAGTCTGTGTAAAGTATCTGAACCACAGAAGGTGTTCTAAATACAGACTAATTGCAGGATTGTGCATGCTTCTCCCACTCCGTAACTTGACACACAGTGCGATGTAAAAAGATGCATCGGATGGTGAGCTGCTCTTCAGGACGTGAAAGGACCAAACATCTAGCAGGTCCCATGGAAAGTAATGCTGTTCAAGACGTGTAGTGACCTGGAGGGGAACTGATGCGCTCCTTGCAAAGTGACACCTGCCCTCACCTGACACTTTCACTGTCCTGATGTGAGGTCCTTGAGGAATCACACGCCTTGGATAGTTTGTGCTTGTGTTTTAATTTCTTCAGGTGATTCTGAGCCGATAGATGTCCCTGGAAGGGGATTTTTAATTTGCCTTAGATATTCTTCCTGTGAGTTTGGTATATGACTGCAGTTTTCTTACACTTTTAAAAATTATATTGGCTAATTCTCTATTGCTTTATGAACTCCATGTTATGTCATCATGGTTTTTCAGTTATTTCATCAGTTTTGGATGTCACATGGGACTAGCACTGTATTTTGGGCTTTATGACTTGCTGATCATAGGTACAGTTTAAAATCTAAAAGTTGCCACTTTATTGTGATAACATTGTTATGACAGTCTTAATAGATTAGGGAATGATACAAAATACAAATGTTAGAAAAGAGTACATTCTCAAATAATGTGAATAATGTGAACATTTCAAGTGAGAATTAGAAAAAAAGGAGACTTATGGAAATATAGTAAATTAGACTGGAAATTTTTTTAAAAAATCTATTTTACTAACTTCCACCAAAATCTCTACATCTTATACTCAATAGTAACCATTGGTTTGTCATTAAAAAGAATGAATCAAAAACTTGTACAGATTGGAATGAAAAGACAAAACTTTCTATCAAAAACTGTCATGAAAAGCCCATTGCTACCTATTACTTATGACTTATCAAACTCCAAGAAAAATTTTGAGGAAAGAATTAAACCCAAATATTTTTAATTATAAAGTGATTGCCCATTAATGGTTGATAATGATCCCAACTTGGTTTTACTGTGATCCAAAAAGTTAGGCATTCCTCACATTTCTCCAAGACTTGGTAGTATGATTAATTTTTTTAGCTGGTATGCTATATTATCCCTAATATTTAAAACAAATCATGGACAGCATTAACCTGCTCTCCCCCATCCCCCAACATGTTCTAGGGGTAAAAGTATTTATCCTCAATGGTAGTCAAGTATATTAATTTCCATAAATTTATTTCCCCACAATGTCTGTCATATCCTGGCCAGATTTTCTGAAATTGAATCAGAGCAGTGCTTCTTTCCACAAAGATGACCTTGGCCACATTGCAAATAGTCTTAATATAGACTCCCAGTTGCAACTTCAAAGGGCCAATTTTTAAACATTTCACACACAAGAACACAACGATTCTTCATAATGTGAATTTCCTTTGTAGTTTCAGAAGTATTCCTACAGTTTGGACATTATGATTCCTCCCCAATTTTCAACTGAAAGCTTTAATTTGCACTGAATTATAATTCTGTTTAAAATTCTCATTATTTCTCTTAAGCTGACAGATTTGGAAGCAAATTATGGCATGTTTTCAACAATACAGGTACTACCTGTTAACCCGGAATTTTAGTGCTTCTAGGAAAAGTTTCCAGAAAAAGCAATAGAATGAAGGGTTTTCTTCCCAATTACTATTTTATTTTTTAAATGCCTTTTTAAAAAATTTGTCTAATGTGGCAAAATAGTTATGTGTTCAATTAATTTATATTTTATTCATCCTTTTTCAATTCTGGTTATTATGTAAACTCAAGTACTTTATCTGTTCTTTTAAGGTATTTTATAAAATTAATGTTAACTAAATGCAGAATTGGTATGTTCTTTTCAAATGAGCACACACATTTCTTTCAGAGCATTTCTATGTTGTAATTTGTCTTCTTCATGTTAAGCAAAAGACATTTAAGAGCTGATTGGACAAAGTAATGCAAAGTACCCATTCCATATCATTATTTTAAGATATTTAAGATATACAGTTCCATGTCTTAGAACTGAAAGTCAAAGTTATATTAAGCTCCCAAGTAAGAAATACATATCTGGGAAAGACTGAAGGATGACATACCATATAATTGATAATTCCTAATCAACAATAACATCTGTTCTCTAAATTCTTGTGTGTTTTTTAATAACTTGTTCCTGGACAGTATATAGTGAGGAGGAAACAATGGGGATAAAATAACAATATGAATAACTTTTTAAATCAAGAACCATAGCAGAATGTTGTGAAAGTAATTGGTACATGCAAAATCCCATGCATAGTAGTAATAATTATACCCTCAAAGCACATAGAATTAAATGGGAGCTATACATTAGCAAGTAATCCTATGTAATAAAAGCCTAATACGCTAAGTGTCTGGTCAGCCAGTCTGCCGTTCAACCATTCAAAGCATAATATGCTAATGATATGCTAAGGCTGCTCAACCGCTTGCTATGACGTCCACTGACTACCATGGGGCAGATGCTCCGACCAGTAGGTTAGCTTGCTGCTGGGGTACGGCCAATCAGGACTGAGTGAGATGGGCCGGACATGCCCTGGAGCCCTCCCGCAGTCCCTCCCCAGCTGGCCAACCTCCTGCGTCCCTCCCCAGCCCTGATCATGCACAGGTGGGGTCCCTCGACCTGGCCTGTGCCCTCTCGAAATCCAGGACCCCCTCGGGATGTCAGAGAGCTGTTTTCAGCCCAATCCTGCAGGCCAGGCCGAGGGACCCCACTGGGGCACGAATTCATGCACTGGGCCTCTAGTTCCAATATAATAAATACTATACATGATTTATCACATTGTAATGGAATTCTGAGCTTACCATAAGTGCTTAAGAACTTTTATTAGGCCTTTATATATGGAACTTAGTATTAAAACATTTAATTCTTTCAATTACCATCATGCCTCATCTAGGACAGGGATGAAAGCAGGGTGTGATACATCTCTTTTGGAAAGTTTGGCAAATGATAAGGCTGAATAGCATTTTGTCAGCCTAAAAGAGGAGCTAGGTTTTTTTTTGGTTGTTATGAAAGAACTCCAAAAGTAAAGCTTTTCAACTAGGAATATCACACATAATGAAAATACTGTTATTTAGGCAAAAGCAGGAAGTAGTGGGGTCTGAGGAACACAGAAGAGCCTGGAGAGGGTATATGTAGGGGAAGGGGAAGGACAGTGTAGACCAGTGGACACCAACCTTTCAGACCTCACGGACCACCAGTGGTCCACCGACCTCTGGTTGGCGACTGCTGGTGTAGACCACTCTACAATCCAAGGAACCATGGGATCAGGAAATACTTGCTAGAAGTCAGAGATGACATTACCATGAAAACACCAGAGGAATTAGGGTGTGCCATGTTAATGATAATCAGGAAACAGGCTAAAGATTTAATTTTTATGCCTCTTCTTTATGTATCTTTTGTTTGATTTTCAAGGCAAACCTGGGAAATATTCTTAATTATCTGTTTTTGCTTCTTTTTCATCCTGACTACCACTACCATCTTTTGGATCTGAATTATGACTCCCTAAAATATTAGTCTCTAACTGACCTCTATTGCTCTAATGAAAGACAGAATGAAGTTTCTGAAATTCAAATCCAATGTTACTTCTCGACCTAAAACACTTAATGGCTTTCTATTGTAGGGATTCCTTCTCTGCATTCCTCTTTATACTTACTTCCCAGCCTAGCCCCTCTTCACTTATGAGCTTGCAACTGCCCAGATGTGCTCTTGTCTTTGTACATGTTACTACTTCTGACCCTTTCCCTTTTCCAGGCAGGTCAACTCTTTTTCTTTAAAACCAGCTCAATCACTGGCTCTGTGAAGCATTTCCTATCTTGCCCCACATGTTGAGATGAGCATGGCATCTTTTATGTTTCACAGCACCAATCTCATAACACTTCACGTGTGATTTTGCAATGACTTCATTCCATAGATGGTCCAACTACACTGAACTTCTATAGTAGAAAAAGCAAGTCTAATTTATGTTTGTCCCATACTCCTAATAGTGAGCCCAGCACATAGTACACAATAAAGTGTTTCAAGTAAATGAAAATTGCACATTTACGGTAAAGAGCAAGTAGTGGAAACAATCTCGAGTTACCTGTGTGGAATAGCATTTGTGAACCTGCTTTCTTTACCCATGGCCTAGAAGATCAATAAGCCCACTCACTAATGTGATTATAGTAGATGCCTTAATTTTGTTGTCACTATTTGGATTGGTAGCAAAAATCCTATCTAATAATAGACAAACATGGTAATTGACCATACCTTCGCTACGCCTCCCATTGGCTAATCAGCAAGATATGCAAATTAATCACCAACAAAGATGGTGGCTAATTTGCATACTGCAGGCAGGGCAGGACAGTGCAAGCCGCCAGTGCAAGCCGCCATCCAGGCCCCCATGTGCGACCCCAGAAGCCACCTGCCTGCCACCCCTGTGATCGGATCCGGTCCCGGGGGCTGCAGGCCAGCCCCGGAAGCCCCAAAAGCCGCCTGCCTGCACTGCTGCCCCCGTGATCAGATCGGGTCCCGGGGGCCACAGGCCAGCCCCAGAAGCCTCAGAAGCTGCCTGCTTGCCTGCCTGCCGCCCCCGTGATGGGATCCGGTCCTGGGGGGCCCAGAAGCCCCAGAAGCCACCTGATATGGCAGTAACTCTATCCTCTCCCTTTTTCTCTGAAGTCAATAAAAATATATTTTATAAAAACAAGCTAGGAGTTATAAAAACATTTTGGTAAACCTCAAACCTGTTTTTTTAGTAATTTGAGAAGTGAGAAGAATACTTAATTCTTCATAAAGAGCATGTCTATTCAAAAGACTACTACTCAACAGATTCCTATAGCAATGTAATAATGGTTAAAATACAGGCTCTAGTCAAAATAGAGAAGAAGGTAAATCCTGAACTCACTACCTCCCATGAACCATCAAAATGGCAATTATAAAGCAACCATCACTGAGAACCACTGAAGACTATTTAGAATTCCTATAACTAAGGATATAAAGAAGCCATGTCAGGATGGGTAGGAGAATGGAGATGTGGTTAGAGCAGGTCCCACATCCATGGTATAGTGATTAATAAGGATATCTTGGCTGCAGAGACCTCCCTGATAACCTCCCTGATTCAACACAAGTGGAGGCCAGCCTCAGCTAAAACTGAAGTCTCACACTCAGGCTTGGCACAAGCAGCAACCAGGCTTGGCTCACACTGTAGTTCCCACACCCAGCACACACAACACTAGCCTCAGTTCATAATGAAGCTCCTAACAAGTGGCCTCATGCCTGGCACAAGTAACGGCTGTGTAGCACCCACCAAGTGACCATAAGCCCAGCTCAAATGGCAGGCAGACTTTGCTTACATCCTCTCTCCCACCTAATGGTCCCAAGTCTCACACAACTGATGACCCAGCTGGTACCAGAGCCCTGCTAAAGTGATTCCTGCACTGTTGGGCCAGCCCTCACATAACAGCTGGTCCACTGCAGTTGGGGCCAGTCCTCACAAACAATCAACTTGAGGTCACCCCTGACATGCCTGTGGCAATCACAGCCCAACTATACAATAAGAGGACATGTGCAACCCATATGGGACACCCGTGGAGCACCTAGCTCTGGTGACCAGGGGGGACTCTTCCACTGGGCTCCACAGGACACTTTCAACATAAGTCAACTCTTTGAAGACTGGGAGATGTAGAGGATCTACCAAATACATAGAAACAAACAAAGAAAGATAGAAAAAATTAGAAGACAGAGAAATATGTTCCAAATTAAAGAACAGGACAAAACTCTAAAAAAATAACTAAATGAAATGGAGATAAGCAATCCACCAGATACAGAGTTTAAAACTATAGTTATAAACATGCTCAACAAATGGGAGAAAAACAGATGACTCAGTGAGAACTTCAATGAAGAGACAGGTAATATAAAAAAGAAACAATCAGAACTGTAGAATATAATAACTGAAATTAAAAATACATTAGAGGGAATCAAATTAGATTACATGATGCAGAAGAGTGAATCGCTGAACTAGAAGACAAGCTAGTAGAAATCACGCAATCAGAACAGCAAAAAATAAATTTAAAATGAGGATGTTTATGAGACCTTTGGGACATCAAGAGTGCCAGCATACGCATCATAGGTATCTCAAAAGGAGAAGAGAGAAAGAGCTATAAACAAACAAACAACAAAAATCCTGAAAACTTGCCAACCCTGGCAAAGGAAATAGACCTACAAGTCTAGAAAGCACAGAGTCCCAAACAAGATGAATATAAAGAAGACCACACCAAGACACATCTACACTAATAAAAGAGAAACATGGTAATTAGCGTACGACCGCTACCCTTCCCATTGGCTAATCAGCATATCCTTATTCAAATTAACTGTCAGCCAAGATTGCGGCCGGCAGCCATGCACTGAAGCAAACAGGGAGGTTTGCTTGCTCCAGTGACTGCGGACTCCAATGTTCCCTGCCTGACTTGCTGGCCTCTCAGCTGCAACTCTAAGCAACTATGTTGCAAATATAGAAGCTAAACAAAACCCTAGAAACCGGCTTTCAGTCAGCCGGGCTTCAGCCAGCCGGACCGCAACATTGTATCAAATACAGAAGGTAAAGGCCAGAAACCTGCTTTCAGCAGCGAGGCCTCAGAGCTAAAGCTGGCCCAGAAT